TTTTTTAAATTTATTTATTTATGTGTGTGTGTATCACATCTAAACTGTCCACTTTCTCTGTCTTTTAGATAGTTTGTATGCTTTTGTACGAGTTGATTTTTGTCTATCTGTCAGGTTGGAGTTTAGTTCTGACGCTCTTGCTTCAAGTATGTAAGTAAATTTCCTTCCACTTTCTTCGTTGTTAGTTCCCAGGACTGAGCCGGGTGGCTTGTTTTTGGAATCAATCATCATGTCAAGTGCGTGCGGTGTTACAATCAGCGGTTAAATGATCTTTTAAAAAAAAAATTAAAAAACATAGCTAATTTTGTTTTTTTTAGAAAAAGACATATTCTAGTCGGAACGATCAAGATGCCAAAGCTGCGATACAGTTGGAAAGTTTTAGTAAAAGTTTCACGCACTTGCACCGCGAATAGGTAGATTTAAGCGCCTAAGACAAGAGGTGTTACTAAGAAATGCTAGAGAGAAGCATACAAAGAAAAGAAAGAGAAGAGACAACGATGATAGATGTTTGACAGAAGGGGCTAACCACACCAGAGCTCTCGCCAACGGGGGGAATTCCCTTTGCAGACCAATGGCTACACAGTTTCTTTTTGACCAGTAGTGGCTATTGTGTTCACCGATTTCTTGATTTAATTTGGGAATTTTGGGATCGATTTTTCGGTTAGCCGTTGCCTCTTTCGTTCGCCAAGTGCAGTGTTTTGAAATATGTAGAGATACAAGTTGCGACTCTGAACTGAAGGCCCGCTGGGTACCGGTATTTGTTGCCTCCTGCTCACCACGGGGAAATGGAAGAAGGACCAAAGATTCTCTAATACACGATCTTTGGTAGGATAACGAGCAGTTTGAATATTTGGGTTTCGTATCATTTTGCTGCTAAGTTTAAACATTCTTTTTACTTGCCCGTTTCTTTGAAGCACCCTTAAAAGCGTACACAGTGTGTAAATAAACCCCCACCCCTGACAAAGTGAACAGTTCACTTGCCAATTTAAAATACAAAACAAAACAAAAATCCAGCTCAGCATAGGTAGAACAAAGACAAAGCATTCTCAGAACCAGTTGTGTTTGATAGAATTGAAGGTTTCTCACATTCATTGACCAACTTGCAATCAATATGTCGCTAATAACTAAAATCGTTCTTTCATCCGATTACCACCTGGCGAAACAAATTTTACCTTTTCTGCTTGTCCAAAATAGACTGAGTATTAAACCTTAACCAAAGACCGGGTATACAGGGTCTTTGCCTTAACTGGCTCAAAAGGGACGCATATCGCCGGGTGCTCTGGTGTGGATTGCTCCATATTTCCTATCAAACATATATCGGCCTTATCTCCCCTTCTTCTTTTTTATGTTTGTTACTCTCTTGTAACAGCTCTAATCTTCTGGCGCTCATATGACCTTATGCAGTTGCTAGCGCCGTAAAACCTCTACTAAAACTAAACTAGCATATTATATCGCCGGCCGATAAAGCTGATTTGTCTGTTTGTAAATTATGTTGATCAAATGACGTCAGTTTACTGCTGCAAGGATTCCAATGCGTTTTGTGCTTTACGTACAAGCATTGACTTAGTATACTATATCGCTAAGGCTGTACCTCATAATAATATAATACTACGTTCTTCACGTACCAAAGCCTACGAAGTATAATATTGTGTATGTATTGTGTAGTAATTGCATCTGCTGTTGTTCACATTGAATACTTTATTCGCGGTCTTTGCACGACATGGCTTTCATGTGTAGGTCAGGGCACGCTCTATCAGTCAGGTGGTCTCTCTCTCTCTCTCTCTCTCTCTCTCTCTCTCTCTCTCTCTCTCTCTCT